TTTTTGTGAATGAAATTTTCCTAAAAATCCTAAACCACTTTTATATAGGAAATGGCTAGCCCGGGATATGGAAATTTTTTGATGTATAGCGTTCTTTGAATACACGTTATACACATCAAAATTATTGTTATGTTAGTTAACTTATTGGTGGGTCCATAATCAGGGGTATAGTGTGTTGTAATTTTACGCTATATATATAGCGTCCAAATACAAGACGCTATAACTTAACGACAAAATTTACCGTTAAAATATAGCGTCTTGTATTTGAACTTTATATATAGAAAGGTAACTCTCTTTTTTTACACTTATTTTCGTCGTACTTGTCAAAAAGAACCATATTTAGGTTCTGGACTCTATAATATTGGCATAAAATTTACTAATAGCAATACAGTAGTACTTATTTGGTTATCTTTTGTCTGGCCATCTCCAACCTTACTCCATTTCCCCATTATGGGGCAATTTTTGGGTAATAAAGCTCCAACCCTCCCCCATTCTGGCCCCCAAAACGGGAATAAATAGTGTTCTCTCAAATATGGGGGTACACTATTCATCTCTCCCATTACTATTCGTGTATATTTTATTATTTAATTTTTTAATTTATATCTTTATATATACCTAATTATGTTTATGTAATATCTTTATAATATTAATTTTACATCTTAACTTTGGCGTATAATTTTGATAAATTAATTTTCGTGCATTTTTTATTTTTATGTAAAATTGTAAGTTAATTTTATTATAAGTTATAATTGTACAAAAAATATATAATCATCTCAAAAAATGAATGGTGCGAATATAAAATATTAGATGTTGCTAAAATTGAAAAGTAAAAATTAAAAATACATTAAACTAAAATACATAAAAATTGAAACTACGGTAAATAGCATATTAACTTAGTTGGGAGGTATGTCGTTTCCAGATACACCAAAATCATTATAGTATTGCGTGAATGAGGTTGAGGATTATTGTGGTTGTGACTGTGAATATTCTTGACTTTTTTTTTTGGTAATTAAATCTTTATATTAATCACCAAAGTAATATTTACAAAACAGTAGGTCATCTCAACCTAACTTACATCCTGATTTCAATCCTCTATCCTCTATCAAAAAAAGTCTAGCAGCTACATCTATTTAGTACTTATATTTTGCTAGCAAAACTTTAGTATAACCCTCAGCTCTCACACTACATACACAAGCTATCTTATTTGCTAGTTTATCCCATGTTGTAGCTGTTTTTTCAAAGATTCTTGCATTTCTTTCTATCCACAGAGTATACACAAATTCTGCAACTATCAATTTGAGAATTCTAGCCATTTGTGATCTTCCCTTCGTCTTCTGTGTTATTCATTGCTGCCATTCTGTCCATGAAGATTCCTGACTTCTTTTATACATTATTAGTTGTTGTTCTTGTCGCATAAATTCACAACAAATCGGATCGACAATAGAATGCACAATATATATTTAATTAATCTTCTATCGCAATGATTTTATTTTTATTTGAATTATTAGTTAATATATAATAATTGCTTACAAATTATATTATTTAAAATTTTATGGAATTGTTTTAATTGCAAAAATTACAAATTAATAAAAATAAAAGATGGAATTTGTTTAATTGAAATTAAAAAATGAAATTGAAATGAAAGATAATAATATAATATAGAAGAGAGAAAAGAATATAAAAAAGTTTGGGGAAAAAAAATGGGAGAATGGTTGGAGTAAGTTGTCAAAAATGGGGTAAAAGTTGGAGATGCCCTTACATTATTACACAACTCCGAGGTGTGATATATGACTATAATATAGTCAAGATCCAGCAGTCTTTTTCTTGAATAACTTATTCTTGGGGGACTGGCCCCTCTAAACCAAAAGTCGATCAACCCCAATAAAAAATGACTTGATGTGGTGGAGTTTGTTAGTAGCCGGCCTTGTGCATTTTCAAGAGTTTTTGCTGAACAAAAAGTATACTAGTAACTTGATTCTTCCCACTGGAAAAACGCCCAGAAACTGATCTAGAGAGAGAGATGGCTTATGCTGTTGTAACTTCACTTGTGACAACTCTTGGACAAGTCTTGCAATTCAATCCAAGTTTTGATATCTGAAAGCAAGCTACTTATCGTTTCTCTTTATGGAAGACTTTCTTCATTGCAAGCTTTTCTTGAGGATGGAGGAAAACGGATCAATGATCAAGAAACGTTGACTATTTTGGAGAAGAAGATCAGAAATGCAGTGTATAAAGCCGAAGACACAGTTGATTTATGCTTAAAAAGAATCCATGTGGCTGAAACTTATAGCAATCAAGACAATGGTCGTCGTATGCTTTATGACGAGTTGCAGCAAATAGGAAAGGTAATGGATTCCATACAAGAAGAAGTGATGAAATTCAAGAATGAGAATCAACATATCAAAGATCCCCCTGCAATAAATTTTTTCCCTCTCCGCTCATCCGGACATGTCTTGGATGAGGAAAATACATTTGTCGGAATGGAGAATGTCTTCAACAAGGTACTCAATCAACTCATTGGAGGGAATGCACGGGAGCTGAATGTCGTCTCAGTTGTTGGTATGGGCGGTATTGGTAAGTCAACTCTTGCCGGAAGAATTTTTAGGAATCCATCAGTATTCTATCACTTTGATGTTTCATCATGGTTAACTGTCTCTCAAGAATATGATGTTAGAGAAATGCTTTTAGATGTTTTAAGCTTTGGTACACCGTCTCTGAAGGCAATGTATAGTAATTTGAGCAATGACCAACTATTAGAGCAAGTGTATAGAAAACTGAAAGGCAAGAGGTATTTGATAGTTTTGGATGATATATGGAGTATAGAGGCCTGGAACCTAGTCATAAGATCATTTCCCGATGATGAAAATGGAAGTCGAATCATGTTAACTACGAGGCTCTCAGAAGTAGCAATTTCTGCTGGTAATAGTTACACTTTTAACATGCCTTTCCTTAATCTGGAAAATAGTTGGAAACTATTGGCAGACAAGGTATTTGGTATCGCAGGCTGTCCTCTTCGATTGGAGTCAATGGGAAAGCAGATAGCACGACAATGTCAAGGATTACCTCTCTCTCTCGTTGTCATAGCCGGGCTTCTCCCCAAGATCAGTAGGACATATAAGGATTGGAAAAAAGTTCTTGAAAGCATGAAATCACATGAAGGTTCAACCTCTGAGCAGTGTTTAGCAATATTAGCTTTGAGTTATAACTACTTGCCTTGTAGCTTAAAAGCTTGTTTTCTTTATATGGGTGCTTTTCCTGAAGATGAAGAAATCCGTGTGGATAAGTTGATCAAAATTTGGGTTGCTGAAGGTTTTCTGAAGCCAAGTAGTCATAAAAAGTCGGAAGAGGTGGCAGAAGAGTGCTTAGAGGATTTAGTTAGCAGAAGTTTGATTATAGTTAGTAGACGAAGAGCGAATGGCAAAATTAGAAGTTGCAGAATTCATGATCTCCTTCGGCAATTATGCTTGAGAGAAGGAAAATCTGAGAAGTTCTTTCATGTCATAACTAAAAGTTATGAAATGTCCACGGAAGGCATGGAGATTGAACATCGACTGTGTTTGCATCCAGATGGTTTAGAAAATCGAAGTCTTGGACTGGAGAAAGGTAATTTTGATTCAGTTCGGACCATCTTGTGCCTCGGTGAACTCCATTCTTTCTTTAACTCTGGATGCTATAAAATAGTGGATTCCCGTTTTGAATTGCTAAGGGTATTGGATGTACTAAATATTCACTTTCCAAGTTTTCCCAATGAGATAACACAATTAGTACAGTTGAGATATGTTTGTTTTACCACTGGTAGTGAAGTTCCGGTATCCATATCCAATCTTTGGAACCTACAAACGATGATTGTTATTTCAGTTGCGGAAAATGAATTACGCCTGCCATTGGAAACTTGGAGGATGTCAAGTCTGAGACATTTCAATCCAGGGAGAATGTACTTGCCTGCTCCTCCCAAGGCATAAAATTTTCTTGGTTTAGAATACTTAGAAACTCTTCATTCGTTACGAACTGCTGATTCCAGTTGGAAGGAGATTTTTATGGCGGTCACTAATGTAAAGACATTGGGAGTTTTGATCAATCCAGATCTTAATGAATGGTCTAATTTTAATGACAGTCTAATCTGTCTATCTCATCTCCAGAAGCTAAGAATTCATCTTGCACTTCCCCCTTATGTACAGTTTTTCCGAAGGCTTCCTGCTCCGCAATGGAACTCTTTCCCTACAAAACTAATGCATTTGACACTTGAAGCAACACATCTGCTATGGAAGGATATGACTATGCTCGGTAAATTACCCAATCTTGAGGTTCTCAAACTAAAATATTTTGCGTTTCAAGGGAGCAATTGGAATTTAAATGAAGGGGGTTTCAAGAAACTCAAGTTGCTACACATTTTTATGACTAACTTGATTCGCTGGAAAGCTACCAGTGATAGTCTTCCTAGCCTTGAGTGTCTAGTTTTAAGGCATTGCTATAAATTGGAGGAGATTGCTACTGAGATTGGAGATATTCCCACGTTAAAATTGATCGAGTTGCATCATTGTAGCCACGCTGCTGCCACTTGTGTAGAGGAAATTCTTGAAGAACAAAAAAGCATGGGAAACGAAATACTGGTCGCCAATGCCTACGATACTGGAGGTATGTAGTAAAACTAATAACACTTAAGAGACTTTTGCTGTGTGCTTTCTTTTGCTCTGTCTTTCCCATTTCTATTGACTTTGCCAATATATAACTTGCAGTGCAATACTTCGACATGAGAGGTGAAGTTGACGAAGATGATATTGCTTCCACCTACGGCTCTGATGTAACGTATAATCATATGAGCAATATGCATGTAGGTGCAAATACATCTAGCTTGTCTGCTTTCGTATTCATTACTTTCATCCGTTCTCATAGTTGTTTTGAAATTCCTTCTGTATGCTGCTGGCAGAGAAAATTCCTTACCAAAGCGAGGGAAGAAGTACACAAGGAAGACGATATTAATTTTGATGTTGAAGAGTTAGCATATAGTCGTTGGATCACTACATGCTTAAAATATGAGGAGAAGCCCAAACAGTTAGGTTAGAATATGGATCAGAACGTGTACAGTGGGATAGTTCTACCAATAAATTACCTCAAGGAGCGAGAGTAGCTCGTGATCTTAGTAAAAATCTTAGCCGAAGATCTGAGGAGAAGGCCAAACAGTTGATCTTAGATTATGCAGGAACAGAATGTCGCCAGGGAAATGCAGATCTTGCAGTGAATTTTTCGCCTCCATCCTCTCCAGGTAGTGGACATTGATATTACTCTGAATGATAGAAGATATTGCAATTCCAGTAAAAAATCCCAGTTTTATTCAAAGTTGAAGAGATTAATTGGGCAAGAGTAAAGATGAATCCAGTCTGCTATATCTTTTGTCCAAGCAAGACTATATGATCAGGAATGGATGTTACACTGTAGCCATCACCAGTTCCGAAACAGCAGAACTGCCCCACATCAGACTACAAGATTTTCTTGCATTATATAGGCTTTTTTTTTTTGAGTTTGACTACTAGAATTAAATATTTTGAGTTGTTTGATATTCGAACTTCTGTGATACGGCCACTCATTCTATACTTGTTTGTGTATTGGGAAAAAACTGAATTTAAATATTGAAGATGACGTGTCATGACACGTGGACCGGTCGAATAGTCAAAACGTGGTAATCAGTTAGAAGGCACGAGCAACAATGATGCGGGAGAGAAGATACTTAAAGGCACGAGCTATTATTCAAATGAAACGAGACTCGTACCTGTTCGAGTCATTTAAAGTTCGAAGATCAGAAGGAATTGGAGACATGAATCTGATAGCGAAAAAGAGTCCAAATTCAGCATTAAATGCCAAATACGTTAGAGAATTTGTATTTAATATGAATAATTGAGTAACGTTTCTTTCAATATCATTTATTGCTCGTAATTGTCTCATTAAAACAAAGGCATTACACTTTCTCTTAAAAATTAACTATAAAAAGAGGAAGTCACAACATCTGTAAGGGACACAAAAAAAACACTACTGGAATATACTTTGTTTTATTTGCTTTCTGATTATATCATTCAAAATTTCTTTCTTATATACTTTTCCGATTATCAGTAACCCGAGTTCTTCTAAATTCGAACTTTGACCTAAAATCTAATTTTTGGTTAAACAAATTGGTTCCGTTACCGGGAATCTGATAATCAAGCAGATCTCAATCTAATTTTCTTGATTGCATCAATCATGTCAAACAACAATGACAACACTCAAGGAAACCCAGAAATTCAGACAATCCAACAACTTCAGGGAGATTCCCCACAAGGTTCTCCACAAGGTTCTCCACGAGGCTCCCCACGACGGTCCCGTGAAGGCACTCCTGATGGATCTCACACAGATGGTCAGGCTCAATTCGAAAATATTGAAACCATGAATGAGGCTCTGCAAAAACTTATTGCCTCTCAAGTCAATAATGCTCCAATTACCTATTGTCCCACCCACGTCTGCTCCAAACAACAACACTTTGGAGAATCCTTGTTCAGGATTGGTTAATTCAGGCAGCGGTGGAACCCCTAGTGAAACACATGAGAGAGACCCAGGTAATCCAGTTAACTTTGATTTACAAAATCTAGTACTAACCTTGCAGAAACAGCTTAAGGAGCAAAATGAACGCATAGAGCAAATACCGGGAGTACCGCCCGTGATCAAGGGAGTGGATATAGATAAATATTCCCAACAACCATGAAAGCCAAGTGCTGCTCCCCTCCCAATTCCAAAGAAGTTTAAGATGCCTGATATTCCAAAGTATGATGGTACATCAGACCCACGAGATCACGTTATTGCATTCACAACAGGTGTCAAGGGCAATGATTTGACTAAGCAAGAAATTGAGTCGGTCTTGGTCAAAAAATTCGGTGAAACACTCACTAAAGGAGCCTTAACATGGTATTCTCTTTTACCTGAAAATTCTATAAATTCGTTTGCTGAGCTTGCAGATTTATTTATCAAAGCACACTCGGGAGCTCAAAAAGTTGAAAAACGAATGGAAGATATCTTCAAAATCAAGCAAGGAGACTCAGAGTTGCTTAGAGAGTTCGTAGATAGATTTCAACGGGAAAGAATGACGCTGCCACGAGTACCTGACAATTGGGCAGCCATAGCCTTTGCTAGTAATTTGAATGAGAAGAGTTCAGAAGCCACGAGGCGACTCAAAGAAAGCCTTCGAGAATTCCCAGCAACAACGTGGAATGATGTCTACAACAGATACAGCACAAAGATGAGGATTGAAGAAGACATTATTTTACAACATAAAACAGAAGAAAAGGTAAGCTCAAGGCGTGTGGAAAATGAAAAGAGATCCGGTAAAAACAGGTACGAGCCATACATGGGACCTGCGGGAAAGGACTCACGGTCAAGACAAGATAATCAAAGGTACGATCACAAACCAAGGAACAGGGAATCAAGATCCTCATCAAGGTTTGGGAATGATAGAAACACACGCGGGTCACGAGACGATGATGGAAGTCTAAAGGCAAGGTTCGGTGGTTACAACTTCAACGTAAGCACCTCTGAACTCGTGGCTATTTTAAGAAGCATGGGAGATAAGGTACGATGGCCAAAGGAAATTGCGATCAAACCCGAACAGACGAAACCCTGATCATTGGTGCGAATTTCATAACGATCATGGGCATAAAACAGCAGACTGCAGGTTTCTACAAGGTGAAGTTGATCATTTGTTAAAACAAGGTTATCTTACTGAGTTGTTCAGTGAGAAAGGTAAACAAGCATACATGAAGAACAGACAGGAGCCTCTAAAACCACCTTCGGCCAAGAGAACTGTCAACGTTATAAGTGGAGGTGAAGAGATCAATGATGTATCATATAAAAAGGTTTCAAAAGTGACAATTACTCACGGGAAGCGACCTCGACATGTACTGGAAGAGGAGAATATTATATTCAACAACGCAGACGCCGAGGAACTCATAACTCCGCATAACGACGCACTGGTAATATCTTTACTTGTACATGATACTAACGTGAAACGAGTTTTGGTTGATCCAGGTAGTTCTGTAAACATTGTTTTAATACGGGTATTACGCGAGATGCAAGCGGAGGATAAATTAATCCCAAAGGCGCATACTTTGTCGGGATTTGATAACTCTAGTGTTGTAACAAAAGGGGAGGCAATACTTACCACATTCGCATAAGGCGTCGTTAAAGATACCAAATTTCAAGTGGTAAATATGGAAATGGCTTACAATATGATTCTTGGGAGGCCATGGATTCATGACATGGAAGCTGTTCCTTCAACTTTACATCAAGTTATTAAATTCCCATCTCCATGGGGAATATGCCAAATCAGAGGCGATCAACAAACATCTAGAAGCATCAATTCCGTTGCAGATTCAACTGTTAAAGGTGAAGACAAATAGCAATTACAGAATTTAGGTGAGGGTAACATGGAAACAACCTCACCTGAGCAAAAGCAAACATATCTGGATTCAAGACCTGATACTATTCAAGAACCGGAGGAGAATGAGAACATCAAAACAACGATGGAAGAGCTAGAGGCCGTGGTGTTATTTATACATTGGCCCGAGAGAAAAGTGTACATAGGAGCTAATCTTAGCCCGGAGGTAAAATGTAAATTGATTGAATTTCTAAAAGCTAATGCGGACTGTTTTGCTTGGTCCCATTCTGACATGACAGGGATACCACCGGAAGTCATGACTCATAAGTTGAATGAAGATCCATCATATCCTCCCGTCAAGCAAAAGAAACGAAAACAAGGAACTTTCAAAAATAAGGTGATTCAAAAGGAAGTTCAAAAGTTGCTAAAAATTGGTTCAATTCGTGAGGTAAAATATCCTAACTGGTTAGCTAATACTGTTGTGGTTCCTAAGAAGAACGGTAAGTGGCGAGTCTGTGTAGATTACACAGACCTTAATAAAGCCTGTCCAAAAGATTCCTTTCCTTTACCCCACATAGATCAGTTAATTGATGCTACTGCAGGGCATGAACTATTAAGTTTTTTAGATGCATATTCAGGCTATAATCAAATCAAGATGGATCCAGGTGATGAAGAAAAAACTTCTTTTATAACAGACAGGGGGACTTATTGTTACAAGGTAATGCCCTTCGGTCTTAAGAATGCAGGTACAACGTATCAAAGGTTGGTCACCCAAATGTTTCAAAAACATTTAGGTAAAACCATGAAATTATATATAGATGATATGCTAGTTAAAACACAGCATTCAGAAGATCATATATTGCACTTATCTGATACGTTTAAAATTTTACGAAAATATAATATGAAGTTGAATCCAGAAAAATGTGCATTTGGTGTGGCATCAGGAAAAATTTTAGGTTTTCTTGTTTTCTAGCCGTGGTATTGAAGTGAATCCTGCACAAATTAAGGCCATTGAAGAACTTCCAGATATACTTTCCAACAAGAAAGAGGTTCAAAGACTAACAGGAAGAATTGCAGCTTTGGGAAGGTTCATTTCTAAATCATCGGAAAAATATTTTAAATTCTTCTCGGCTCTTAAGAAGCAGGATCATTTTGAATGGGATGAGGAGTGTCAACAAGCACTTAGGGATTTGAAAACGTACTTGTCAAATCCACCTTTGCTAGCAAAACCCAAGGCTGGGGAGAAACTTTTCATCTACCTTGCTGTTTCAGAAGTTGCGGTAAGCGCGGTTTTGGTACGAGAAGAGCAGGGTAAACAATCTCCTATCTATTATGTTAGTAAATCTTTGTTAGATGCAGAGACACGGTATCCACAATTGGAAAAATTAGCACTTGCTCTAATCATGGCATCTGGAAGTTAAGCCCTATTGTGTAGTGACTGCATACCCCCTACGTAATATATTGCATAAACATGAATTGTCAGGGAGGTTAGCTAAATGGGCCATAGAGCTAAGTGAATATGAAATCACGTGCTTACCTAGAACAGCAATAAAATCACAGATATTAGCTGATTTCGTCGCTGACTTTAGCCAAGGGATGCAATTAGAAGCAGAAAAAGAAGTACAAGTACTTAATGGGGCTAATCCAGGAACATGGATCTTATTTACTGATGGCTCATCTAATGTAAAGGGTGCAGGATTAGGAATTGTTTTAGTACCACCTTCAGGTGAAACTATTAGGCAAGCCATTAAATGTCATTCCGTAACTAACAATGAAGCGGAGTATGAAGCTGTGATTGCAGGTTTAGAATTGGCACGAGAACTTGGTATAAATCAAGTAGTGATCAAAAGTGATTCGCAGCTCATGGTTAATCAAATGCTAGGGACCTATACAGCTAGGGAAGCAAGGATGCAGCAGTACTTAGAAAAGGTACGGGAACTGATAAAGCAATTCCAAACTTGGAAGGTCATACAGATATCGAGGGATGAAAATGTTGAAGCAGATGCCTTAGCTAATCTCGCATCCGCAGCTGATGTGGCAAAGGATGCAAATGCTGCAATTATACATTTATTTCACTCAGTTCTCGATCCAGATAAGAATGAGGTAAATTTTAATAATTTAACTTGGGATTGGAGAAACGAAATTGTTGCTTTTTTGCAGTA